TTCTCTCCTACACTGACTTAACTAATAAAAGTAAGCACAGTGATCACATAGATTTATAAGCCAGGAAGTCAGCCAACATCCTGCTCGTTTGCATATATTTCCCCAGAGACCACAGAAAACTCAGAATTGCATTTAAGGACTTCAGTATGAGAAGACGTGTGTTTAGCCTGTCACGGGGTTCGGTCAACATAATGGGTCTTCTAATTTTCACTCTCCTGTTGCTCAGTGTTACAGGTAAGAAAGAGAAAAATCTTGGAACTTATGATTTATTTTCTCATGAAATTTAGATTCAAGGCGGATTTTCACAAGTTGAACCTGATAGCTGGACAGTATGAATATACTCTTATATGTCTGTTTCTACTAATATCTCTGTCTCCAATATCCATCTCCTATGTGATCACAGGATCCAGTGGACAAATTGTGTTGACCCAGTCTCCAGCTTCCATGGAATTCTCCCCAGGAGAGAGAGTCACCATGAACTGCAAGGCCAGCTCAAGTGTAAGCACTAGTTACTTACACTGGTACCAACAGAAGCCAGGAGCCAGTCCAAAGCTCCTTATTTATGGTACATCCAACCTGGCCTCTGGGATCCCTGGCCGGTTCAGTGGCAGTGGCTCGGGAACAGATTACTCTCTGACCATCAGCAGCGTCCAGGCTGAAGATGCTGCAATGTACTACTGTCATTGTGCTTACGGCACTGAGCCCACAGTGTTACAGACTGGAACAAAAACCTCCTTCACCGCTTAAGGCACAGCTGTGTCGTCCTCTGAGGCACAAAGGTAATGGTCCCTACATTTGGTGTGTCTCACAGAGACTGTAAAGCAGCCTGCGCTTATGTGACTGTTGAAGATTCTTGACTATCTGAGGATACGTAAGAATCAAAGTATTGGGGATACATTTTCAAATGGAACCAGTTTTGTGGCAGCCTGTACAATGGAAAAAAAAAAAAAAAAGATGCAAGTATGGTGCAATTTCTTCAAATAGAGAATTAATCTTTATGTAGATTGTTTCTTCAGATTATATTCAATACAAAAGAGGATTGACATCACCCTGCCGTCAGCAGAATGTGCTGGAGCAGCAGCCACATAAATCCTGCATCCTTTCTGTCATTTGATTGAAATGATACATTATGAAGGATTGCTAAATGAAAGTCAACTCATCTTCTGTTAGAAAAGTGAATATCAAATTTTTGATAACTTGATAACATTTGAAACCAGCTGAGTTAACCCAAACAATAACTATATGGTTGTAACAATTTGTCCAGATTGATTACTTTCTTGCACTCCTGTTGCTTGTCTAATGTTCCTATTTTTCTTTTGATGTGGTAAAACCCATAGAAAGAAAAAGACTAACATGTCTTTACTGTGGACATTTTGGTTTGGTCTAATAAAGTGTAGGCAGTCCTAATGTGGTGCTGTAGGATAAGCTCTGGACTGCTAGACACAAGGCTGGCAGTTCAAACCCACCAGCCACTCCTTAGGAATCTATGAGTCAGTAATGATTTGTCAGCATTGAACAACAACAGCATTGGATCTTAAAAGCTTCCACCATCTCTTCTAGTTATCAGGCTGCAGTTAAGTGTTTTATGATCATTGCTTATGTGAAGTTTCCAGGTTTTCTAAGATTTAAATTGTATACTAGATTGTGAAGTTAGCAAATAAAGAACTATAAGGAAAAATTATTGAACTGAATTCAGTGAACATTACAGAATAGACAAACTCAAAAGCCATGGTGAGGGTAACCAAGATCTATCAAGGTAGGTCAGCCCTTGTGAAGACTCTCCAAGAAGCAGAGACAAAGCATAGGAACATTGACTAGAACTGCACACTGAAGGCCAGGCTGTTCTGGAAATCCTGTGGCCACACATTTCATATATATGTTTCCTTTTAAATTACTTTGGATTTATGAAGGTCTTCATTTATAAAAATTAAACAATATTTATGATTTTAATAAACATTATAAGAAGCTCTGACAGTGTTGTGGTTATGAGACAGGCTGCTAACCTCAAAGTCAGCAGTTCAAACCTACCTGCAGTTTTGCAGGAGAAAGATGAGGCTTTCTGCTCCAGTAAGGATTCACAGCCTCAGAAACCCTATGCAGGTCTCTGTGAGTCCGAACCGACTCCACGGCACATAGTCACCACCACCACTACCATACTGGTTACACTACACTACACTATAATTGGTGTGGCACAGGTGTGGCACTGTGGGTTAACGCGCTGGACTGCAAGGTCAGTTTGAACCATAAATTCAGCAGTTCAAGCTCACCAGCTGCTCCTTGGAAACCTTATCCAGGGTCCTATGAGTTGGGAACTAACTCAACAGCAGTTAACAACAACAGCACCAACACTATACTACACTGGTGTGGTGCTGTACTATCAGCACTGGACTGCAAACCACAGTGTCTGCAGTGGAAACCCACAAGCTGCTTCTTGGAAACTCTATATAGGGTCTCTATGAGTCAGAACCAACTAGACTACACCAAACAACAATAGTCTAGTATGTATGCAATAACGCACCTCACCCACTGCCATAAAGTTGATTCTGACTCATAACAACCCTATTTAGATTTCTGAGTCTGTAAATTTGTTGTTGTCAAGTGCTGTCTAATCAATTCTGACCCACAGTGACCCTGTATAGGGGTTCCAAGGAGCAGCTTATGAGCTTGAACCACCAACCTTGCAGTTCAAATCGCTTTGCAGTCTGTAAATACGGGAGTAAAACTCCTTATGTTGGAAAAATGACACCAATACACTTGTTCAATGCAGGGCTACTACTAATCTTCAATCTGTAAAAAATGCAAGATCTGTGAAGTACAATAAAGCAGGGTATGTCTGGAACAGCATTCTTGAAATAATGGAGTCCTTGTGGCCTTGTGGGATAAGTATTGGGCTGCTAACTGTTATGTCCAAACCCACCAGCCTTTTCACAGGCGAATGATGAGGCTCTCGGCTCCTATAAAGATTCACAGTGCTTTTGGACAGATTATAGAAGTTTTTGGATAATTTCTAGATTCTATTAGCTAATGCTTTGCTAAAAAATTATTTCTTCTTTGTATATGTTTATGATAGATTTTGGTGTAGAGTTTTCTTGTACTGTCTTATCTGATTTGTTGTAAAGATAACTATCCCTAATTTTTTTTTTTTTTTTAATTTCCATCCTCCTCTATATTCTAAAGGAGTTGAATTGTTATTTCTTAAATGGAAAACAGAATTCACCAGTGAATATTTCTATCCCTGGACTTTTCTTTTTGAGAAAGCTTTTAATTATAAATTCAAAAATTTTAATATCTACAGGGACAGTTAGGTTGCATGTTTATTCTGGTAATTTTCACTTTGAAAATAATTCCTATTTCATCAAAGTTATAGATATATGGCCATAATATATCAGAATCCCTTGTTCTGTTAATATCTTTATGCTCTCAAGTGGAATTGGAATTTAACGTCTTTGCTTTGTTGTTTCATATGTTCTACCTGTGGTGTAGTGAATTTTTTAACATATCTCTTTTAGCCATAGTCTTTATAACTCTCATCAAATGGTTTTTTCCTAATGAATCTGTATAAGAGAAGATACTGATAGGATTATATGATTCAGTTGTGAGTGACTGTTAACAAAGTTAATTGTGATTTACAGAATATTAAATGCAGAAACATTTGAATAGCATCCAAATATTGTCAATTATAGTGTCAGAAGATGAGACCTCAGGTTGAAATGTACTCAAAATACGAGTGGGGGGAAAGCTGCCACCTCAAAAAAGTTTTGACTGAGATGAGAAAAATTGAAATCTTTCAATGAATAGATTCAGCACTGAAGGAACTCAGTCATCTATGCAAAGAAATTTGGAAGACAGCTACATGGCCAATTGATTGGAAGAGGTCCAGACTTTTGCCTATTTCAAAGAAATGTGACCCAAGAGAACACAGAAATCATCAGACAGTATCATTGCATCATATGCCAATAAAATTTTGCTAAAAATAAGCCACAAATGGCTGAAACAGTGTATTAAAAGCTATGGACAACATTGTTAAGAATGGATATTCCATAACATTTAATTATGCTCATGAGGAACCTGTACACAGAACAAGAGGCAATTGTTCAAACAGAGTAAGGGAACACTCAACAGTTTAAAGCTAGGAAAGGTTTGATCAGGACTGTATTCTTTCACCATATTTATTCATTCTGTCTGCTCATCTAATAAATTGGAAATTGGATTATATGAAGAGGAACAGGCATCAAGACTGGAGAAAGATTATTTAACAACCTGAGGTATACAAATGATACAAGTTTCCCGATGAAAGCAAAAAGGACTTAAAATACTTATTGATGAAGGTCAATGACCACAGTTTTCAGTATGGGTTGTACCTCAATGTAAAATAAAAATGGCAATCCTCACCATTGGATCAGTAACTAACATCATGATAAATGGAGAAAAGATTAAAGCTCCCAAACACTTCATTTTGCTTGGATCCACTATCATCACTCATGGAATCAGCAGTCAAGAAATCAAATGACATATTGCACTAGGAAAATCTGTTGCACAAGACCTCTTTAAAGTGTTCAAGAGCAAAAATGTCACTTTGAGGATTAAGGTACATTTGACACAAAACTATTGTATTTTCAATAGTCTCATATGCATTTGTAGATTGGACAATAAATAAGGAAGCAAGAGAATTGATGCATTTGAATTATGGTATTGGAGAAGAATATTAAAAGTACCATCGATTGTCAGAAGAACAAACAAATCTATATTGAAAGAAGTACAGCCAGAATGCTCCTTAGAGCTCACACTGAGACTACTTGTCTCTCATACTTTGGACATATCATGAGGAGGGACCAGTTTGGTAAAGTACTTTGAAAAAGAGGAAGTCCTTTTTGATATGGATTAACACAGGGAAAGCAGCAATGGTCTCAAACATCACAGTGCTTATGAGGATGGCACAGAATGGGGCAGTGTTTTGCTATGTTGTATACAAAGTCCCTGTGTGTTGGAGCCTACTTAATGGCACCTAACAACAATTACAGTTTTCCATTCACGTTTACTTTCAGACATGGAAACACTAAGTGTACTCTAAGAAACTATTTATGTTTTCTCCACTTTCCTACTTTAAAACAGAAACTTTACTTCCTCCCGGTAAGCATAATTTACTCAGCAAAGAAACAATTCAGAAATTGTCACCCTTCACTGGGCAAATATCTTGATGGCAATTTCAGTTTCCAGTTCAATGCAACCAATGTTTTGTCTCTGGTGGAAGATTTTATCCCTTGGAAACTAAGACTTCAAAACAACAGAGATAAAAACTTCAGGTGAAGAGAAGTAAACTGTAAATTGTGTTTAGATATCATAGGGTAAATATCAATTTGTCCATCACCCTTTTATTCCTGAATTTCTGTGATTCACTTTACTAGAGAAATAGAATGATGTATTCATCACAAATTCATCACTTTCGCTGCATTCTTTAAGATTGAAACCACAACGTTTCTTGCCCATTTGCCATTAGGCCCACTCTAACTAATGGTGACCACATTTGAATCAGAGTAGACTTGTGTTTGATAAGAATTTTAATGATTTTGATCACAAGGCCTTCCAATAAGGCTCCTCTGGGTCAGTTGAAACCTATCAATTAGAAGTCAGGGACATTATCCATTTCAGGGTCAGGGGCTCTTTTATCATTAAAGACATGAAAATATTAATAGTCTTCAACCTTTCACTTTTCTGTCAACTGACAAATATTATTAGCAAGTTTAGTTAGGAAGGAAATGGAGATTTTTTTATTTAAAATAAAATGTGTGACATTAAACCGTTTCTCGTCACAGCACTCTGTACTCATCTCGGTTTGACAATTCCTGGCAATGGCCACACAGAACTCAGACTCCATACTCACAACTATGGGGCTTATTGGGAAAGTTAACAGGTTACAATTCAGGCTCCGAAATGCTCAGGTCAGCCTTTGCTTGGCCAGGCCCATAGGCAGACCTAGCCAATATGATAAGCGTTTTTAGGGCTGCTGAAAAGTATTCATAGGATTTACCACTTCAACCTAAACCTCAGCCTGAATCACCCAGCTCTAGGTTTGTGGGTCAACAAACCTGGCTTCCCCTACTAAGGGTCTGACGTCATCCCACCTGCAAGCAAGCCTCCAGCCCAAAGGCACTCAGGTTTACTAGAACCATGGGTTGGAAAGCCCACCAACTCAGTCTCATGCTCTGGCAGTTGGTTCTGCAGCTTCTGTTCCTCTACTAATCCTCTAATGTCACAGCTTTCTTTCTAGAGGTCAAGGAGTTCAATGTACAAGAATCTCGGGGTCCAAAGTAGCGTAACAGGCTACTTGTCAGCTACCTTTAACTTTCAGTCCCAGAATGGTGCTTTTCTGATGGGCAAAGACTTTTCTTGCTTCAATGTATCCAACTGCAAATTGCTTGCTAAGATTTAAAATGCTAAGTCATTTTTCTTTCTGTAGTTTTTTTTCTTTCGTGGTAAAAGTCTTGTTCTATTAGAATATTGTTCTGGGTGGGGCTCAGGTTTCCACTTAAGCTCCTTATTCTACAAAGGAGTAAAACAAAAAGCTTCTTTCTTCTGTACAATCTTTAATGTCCTCTCTAGCATATCCAGTTAGGTACAGGCTGAAGGTGGTCTTACAAGCTCTCTGTAATACATGTGAATATGAACTTGGCCGACTGCCTGGCAGGGTTGATAAAACAGGCTCTGACCCACTATTACTCATCTTGCTTAATCAGCCAGGATTTTGCTCCAGTCACTTTAGTAGTAGCTGTTTGCCTCTTGGAGTGCTGTGGAGTTGGTTCCAACTCATAAACCCTGCATAGGCAGAGTTTCTGAGGCTGTAAATCTTTATGGGAGCAGAAAGCCTTATCTATCTCCCATGGAACTTCTGGTAGTCTCGAACTGCTGACCTTTAAGATAACAGCCTGACTCCTAATCACTACACTACCAGAGCTCCAGAGTTCCTTTTTTTGCTAATTAACTTAACCTAATGTGTACCTGTTCCATTCCTTTCAGCTGTTAAGGGTAATAATAACCAATGTAACCATCTAAGGATCAAAAGCTTCCATTTCCATGCCTCTTTGTTCTTTTGTTTGCAAACCTCCATGCTTCCAGAGTCTCATATTTTTCACTCCACACTGCTCTAGGCACTGACTCTAGGTCTGTAAGGGTCTGGGGGTACCTCCTGCCCAATGGCACTCAGTTTTCCTTGCACCAGGGGCTGGCAAGTCCATCTCTCTCTTTCATACTCTGGCTCTTAGTTCTGCTGCTGTTGCTTCTCTGCCAATCCTCTGGTGTCACTGCTTTCCTTCCCTTTGTACAGGAGGAGGTTCAATGCACAGGGATTTCAGAGTCCCAAGGACATGCCTTATTTCTGACTCTTCTTGGATGGAAGTGGGATTCCTCCACCTCCACTTCTGGGATAGCTCATTTTATACCCATCAGGATGGTAACATTGACCAAACCCTCATGAAATTTCCAAGTATTTATAATCACAGTCCTCTTAGCAGTCACTAACAAGTCAATTACAATCCATCAGTACTTTTCCCACCTTCTCTTACCTAAGCTTATCAAGGAAAAAAAAAAAAAGTCATTAGGTGGGAAATTGCAAAGACTATGGAGTCTTGGTATGATACTGTAGGACTGACTGCTAACCAAATGGTTGGTGGTTCAAACCTGTCAGCCACTCCTCAGAAACCCTACTCAAGGTCATTATAAGTTGAAAACAACTTGACAGCCCTTACAAGCAACAAATGACTTGTTGTTATTGTTAAATGCCATTGAGTTGGTTTCAACCCATAGCAATGCTGTTTCGGGTTTCCGAGGAGCAGCTGGTAAGCTTGAATCACGGACCTTGAAGTCCAGAACATTAACCCCAGCACCACACCAGAACTCCAACAAATGACTAGGAGAGTCATGTTAAGTAATCCATTGCACTGCCATTTCCAAATTTTTTCCAGTCATGGATTTCTTACTCTTAACCATTGAAATGTATCTATTCCCAATTATTATGCAATAATGTTCAGATTTCACTACCAATCTAGCCATGTTTGTGATACACAAATTAATTTAAACCTTCCAAGATTCTAAAAGCCATACATATTATAAAGTAGGATATAAATTCCTGGAGTGCTAATGAAACCAGCCATTCCTGGGAAACCCTATACAGGGTCGCTATTGGTCGGAGCTGACTCTATGGCACTTAACAACAACAACAAAACCCAAACTTAAAGAACTCTCATGTTTTGTTTTGTTATGGTTTTTGTTTTGTTTGTTTTTTTGTAAAAAGGAGGAAAAAAATGTTTAAAACAACCCCAAAAAAGAAAAAGAAAAAAAAATGTAAACAGTGTGTTTTGGTAACAAGATTAAATTATCTGCTACTAGGGACATGAATTTGAGTCAGAGTGAGAGGTAAGAATATGGAGATGCAACAGAGCACTGGGAGGTGGGAGATGGAAATCAGGTATTGAGGATGGGATGCTTGGCATGGGAGGAACAGAACCTGTGACACTGCAAAGTAGAAAGTAGAAAAATCTATATGAGGATATGAAAACATGGGCAGGAAAATTGTAAAAAATGGTATACCATTTAGTTATAATTTAGTTGAAGAAGGCACAGCCCTTTCATTTTTATTTCATCCTTCTGATTTTATAGTCATACAATTTTCAAATCTCCACAGACAGATTAGCACTCACCTTTACTGAATCTCAGAAATATCTGCAGCTAATACTTCAAATGACTTGAAAATGAAAGATCTGAACACCAAGAAAAGGGCTCAGCTTCATACCTCCTTATTGCTCTGGGTTATGCACTATACAAATATCTTCTTTGATACTGAGTAATAATTTGATTTATGTTTCTTACAAAACTTCTGAATTCATCATTAAAGATGCTTCTTCTCTGGGCTCTGGGTCCCAACCCAGCTAGGCAATACCTCAGAGTCATAAGATGGTGCATAATTTTAGACAGCAAAATAAAACAATGAAAATCTGCCAATGTCTTTCTGGATGGTTTTCTTAGGGTTCCAGTGATAGTCATTAAATTCTAATATCCTTCTTGATTTTTGTTTGTTGACTTGTTTATTTTCTTTTGTTCTTTGTTTGATTTGTGGGATAAAGTTTGGTCTCCTGTTATGTGTGCATCTCTCTTTTTATGCCTGTAAATTCAACTGTCCCTCTGCTGTCTGTGCTAATATTGCAATCAGAAGTTTTTATCACTCTGCAAGAATGTCACCTCATGGAAATTCAATAAGTATAAGTGGGATCAATTGCACATGTTCACCAGGGAAAGAAACATTTTCACTGACCAAGTCTGAGTGCACAGTCTCAGATGGTCTCTACTTGCCCAGAACCTGTATTTTTACTGATTCCCTAATCCATTATGACATAGTGACATCAGGCCCCTTTTACTCATTACACTTACTGACCTCTCAAGATTCAGATTAAGTTTTGATTTATAACATTGGCATTTTAAATAACTCATATATATTAACTTTGTGATATGCAGAGTAACAGGAAAAGTATACAACAACTCGAAGTCCCTGTGAGATCCTAAATCATTCGTAATGTTAAAAGCTAGTAAGGCTAGGGGACAGGAACTTACATGTAGAGATTCAGAATACCTGAGGGTCCATAAATCTATGTATATTGGTTACAGAAATTACAAATATTTTTAAATTTTGATAAGGTAGGACATTCATAAATACAGAATCATAAAAGCAGAAACACAAATATAAAATATGTGACCACAGCATTTCTGGAATAGGTCTGGCCTGCAACTTACAATTCTACTAAATGGTTCTAAGTTTTGTTTTTGATTTCTGAAGAATTATCATCTGGGACAAGCTACCGTGATAGCTCTGAGTTGTCCTCACCTTGGGGTTTGAGTTTCCCTACTTTTTTAGCTGGATAATGCATGATAGAATTCTGCAAAACCAATGAACTGTTCATTTCAAATACCTTCCTTAGACAGCATAACAGACAACTATACACATGGACCTCACCAGATGGAACACATAGAAATCAAATTGACTACATCTGCGAAAAGAGACGAAGGAAAAACTTTGTATCATAAGTCAAAACAAGGCCAGGGGCAGACAATGGAATGCACCATCAATTACTCATATGCAAATTCAAACTGAAGCTGAATAAAATGAAAACAAGTCCACAAGAGTCAATTTATGAACTTGAATATAACCCACCTGAATTTAAAGATCATCTGAAGAATAGATTTGATACATTAAACACTAAAGACCGAAGACCCAAAGAGTTGTGGGATGACATCAAGAACATCATACATGAAAAAAGCAAAAAGTCATTAAAAAGACAAGAAAGAAGGAAAAGGTAAAAAAATGGATGTCAGAAGAGACACTGAAACGTGCTCTCCAGCATAGAGATGCTAAAACAAAAGAAAGAAATGAGGAGGTCCAAGAACTGAACAGAAAATTTCAAAGATTAGCTCAAGAAGATAAAGACAAATATTACAACAAAATGTGCAAAGATCTGGAATCAGAAAGCCAAAAACGAAGAACATGCTCAGCATTTCTCAAGCTGGGGAATTGAATGTAAAATTCAAGCCTCGACTTTCATTACTGAAACATTCTCTGGACAAATTACTGAATGATGCAGAAAGCATCAAGAAAAGATGGGAGGGATACACAGAATCACTGTGCCAAAAGGACATGGTTAATGTTCAGCCGTTTCAAGAGGTAGCATATGATCAAGAGCCAATGATACTGAAGGAGGAAGTCCAAGGTACATTGAAGGAATCGGCAAAGAACAAGGCCCAGGAATTGATGGAACAAAATTGAAATCTTTTCAAGAAAGTGAGGCGGCACAGGAGGCACTCACTCATCTCTTCCAAGAAATTTGGAAGGCAACTATCTGGCCGAATGATTGGAAGAAATCCATATTTGTGCCCATTCCAAAGAGAGGTGACCCAACAGAATGCGGAACTCCTCAGACAATCTCTTTGATATCCCATGCGAGTAAAGTTTTGTGAAAAGTAATACAGAAATGGCTGTAATCACACATTGACAGGAAACTTCCAGAGATTCAAGATGGATTCAGAAGAGACCGTAGAAGGAGGGATGTCATTGCTGATGTCTGATGGATCTTGGCTGAAAGCAGAGAATATCAGAAAGAGATTTACCTGTGCTTTATTGACTACACAAAGTCTTTCAATTCTGTGGATCATGACAAGCTATGGACAACATTGTGAAGTACGAGTATTTTGGAACACTTAATTGCACTCATTGGGAATCTGTACCTGGACCAAGAGGCAGTTGTTTGAGCAAAACATGGGAAAACTGAACGGCTTAAAATTAAGAAAGGTCTGCAACAAGGTTGTATTCTTTCACCATACTTATTAAACCTGTATGCGGAGCCAATAATCTGAGAAGCTTGGTTATATGAAGAAAAACATGGCCTCAGGATTGGAGAAATTCTCATTAACAACTTGCGATGTGCAGATGATACAACCTTGCTTGCTGAAAGTGAAGAGGACTTAAAACAATTACTGATGAAGATTCTTCAGTATGGATTATATCTCAATGTAAC